CGCCTGCAAAGTCACCCACGTTTCTTGTTGACCGAAGGCCTTGTAGCTGGAGAATAATTCCTCCACCGTCATAGCCGCCCCCCTGGTCGCCCGTGGCTATGAAACTGCGCAAGCCATCAGTATCTTCCCTGCATTGGGCATCAGCTGCCCTAGCGCCACTTCCAGCTTGTTAAGTACGTCCACCACTATTTGGGGGAGTGGTAACCTCAGCCACCTTGCAGTGCCTCCTCATACAGCGTGAACTCTGCTGGTTGTGCGTCCGACACTCTCTCTTTAGATGTGGGCAGCCTCAGCTCGACCTTCGCTGGAATTTGGTACTTCCTTCATACCTCCTTCAACTCTTCCTCCGTAAATGTAGACTTATCGGCCTTGTTGTGTCAGTGGTCCAGCTCCACTTGGCTAATTGGCCTAGCGGCTACGATCATCATCGTCGGGCGAGCCCGCGCCACTTGTCCAGCTCTCCTCTCCTCCCTTCATTCTGCTCGGTACTGTTTCGCCAACTCCACTGTGTCATCTTCTCCCAATGAGTCTAGCCTCACAGCTGGCACTCCATCTCGAGCCATTCCTCCAACGTGTCTGCGTATCGCTTCGGACTGCGTATCACTTTGGACGCTGGCACAAAAAAGTTCGCAAAGTGTTGTAGAGGCGTGTCTCACGAAACAAACGAGTTCACCTCTAGGATATGCTGGTTTTGTGCGATAAGGTAAGTAAAGCGAATAACTCCAAATGCCCACAGTTTGCCTATACTCCAAAGGTTGAGATTAAATTTTGCCAGTTTGAAAATTTTCGAAAACTTCTGCCCCCGCCTTTTCAACACCCTTTATTAGCCTATCCCTTCGCTTCCTGCTAATGCATCAACTCCTTTATTACGGGATTATGCCACGTGTACGACCATGATCCACTACTTTCTTCCCCTTTCCTGTCTATTTCACTTCACATCACCACGTGTCCTGCCACTTCTCGATCCCTGCGCGCCGCCATTCCTTCTTATCACTCGGTCACCCTTCGCGGTCGGCCCACCTTACGGTCAGCCCCCTTCTCGGTCACCCTTCGCGGTCGGCCCACCTCACGGTCGGCCCTTCCTCTCGGTCACCCTTCGCGGTCGGCCCACTTCGTGGTCGGCCCTTCCTCTCGATCACCCCTCACAGTCAACCCACCTCACGGTTGGCCCCCCTCTCAGTCACCCTTTGCGGTCGGCCCACCTCACGGTGGCCCCCTCTTTCAGTCACCCTTCGCGGTCAGCCCACCTTCCAGTCAGCCTTCTCACTTGGTCATCCTTTGCGGTCGGCCCTGCTTCCAATCAGTCTTCTCTCACTCAACCAGCCACAACCCCCGTCTTCTTCCTTATTCCTTTCGTTGGACTGAAGCTGCACTCGGGAATAGAGGATTACTAACATAGGTGGGCCCATAGGGGTTTTTGGCACACCACTTAAAACCTAATACATAATTCAAACACTAGAGCCCAACATTATTGGAGCCTAACGTTGCACCAAGAACCAATGACATTTAAACACTTGTCAAGAGAAGAACCAGTCACACAAGCAGACAAAGATCCTGTAGGGTTATTACACCACACATTAGCCATTAATGAGGTTCCCTGCAGTATTTAATGCGATAACCCCTTCACATCAGAATTGAACAGCCTCATTATGAACAAGGCAGGCTAGAACATAGACTTTCGGCCAACATGACAGGTTGGAGTGGACAAAGAAATAATGAACAAAGGATATAAACAGGTTTCTAAGACAAAAAGAAAGTTAAGTTCTTTATCATCATCCTATCACTATATTCCATTAATCTCTCTTTTCTAACTTGCTTGTTGGAGGGCTCCCGTTTCCCGTTGGCTTCTTATGCAGGTTTCTCTGTGGATCCATCGATTGGACAACGGTGTGAGAGACATGGATCAACCCGACCCGTCCCTTTGGGACAAGTAGTATCATCATTATCAATGCTTAGGCCTCGTTTGGCATGGGCATGTTTTAGTTTAAAAGTCAAAAAGTTATTAAAAAATTAAAAAGTTTATAACCTATACTAAAAGTTTAAATAATTTTTTTTTCTGCTTTTTTGTACGTCTTCTCGTAAAAAACTAAAAATTTATTTCAAATATATTAATTTTTTTATCTCATATTTTAGTCAAAAAATAAAAAATTATTAAAACAGTCTATTCCCAAACGAGGCCTTAGAAAACTTTAAAATGCAAATACATGAATAAAAGTATCGCAAAATATTATGGTTTTTTATTTCATGCTTTTAGTATAAAATAACTTGGTCTTATTTATTAAGGCAAATTTCACTTTACCCCCTATGGTTTAGGCCATGTGCGGATTACCCACTGACTTTCGAATATTACCACATAACCTCCTTGGGGTTGATGGAGTAAAGTGCACCATTAACACCATTAATGACAGACGTAAAAAGACCAATTTACCCTTGTATATATAACCTTTATAGTGAAGTAAAAATCATTCTGCTTTTAGATCACAAAAGTCCTCTTAAAAATCATCACATCAATTTACACAAAATCATCAATCTAGAGAGAGAAACAAAGGAAGAGAGAGCAAGATCCAGGAAAAAATAAGGAAGGAATGAAGAAAAAAAGGAAAATCATCTCATATGTATATATGTATATATATCATCTCATATGTATATATATATAAAAAGAGAGCAAAGAAAGAGAAACAAAGAAAGAGAGAGCAAGATACAGAAAAAAAGAGAGGAAGAAATGGAGAAAAGAAAGAAAATCATCTCATATGTATATATATAAAAAGATAGCAAAGAAAGAGAAACTAAGAAAGAGAGAGCAAGATCTAGAAAAAAGAAGGAAGAAATAGAGAAAAGAAGGAAAATCATCTCATATGTATATATGTATATATATATATATATATATATAAAGAAAGCAAAATCATCAAACAAAGGTCCTCCTCTCATATGCATATATGTATATATATAATCTTCTTTGATTTCAATGAAGATCCAGCAAACTTACTTCTTCCATGCGCTACCACCGCCACCAGTGTTGTCGTCGTCGCCGTCGACTTCTCATTTTCTTCAATTGAAGATGAAACCCAGTAACAAGATGAAGAGGGTGAGGAAGTGATGAAACCCAGTAAAAGCTCTTTTTATTTTTTGGTGTTCATGAATTATGATTGTAGTTTAGGTTTTGAAATAAAATTGAATTGCTCATTTGGGGTTTGGGTTTTGATCTAAATTTTATGATTTCTTTATTTGATGAATATAAAGATAAAAGCATCACAAGAGAGGATAATGAAGGTAAAGAAAATCAAAATCAAAACCATTAACGGAGATATGTGATGATTTTGAAATCAAAATAAAAATCATTCTATTTTTATTTTTTAATACCAGCCCTAGAACAAAATCAAAATCATTACATTTCCAGATTTGATGATGAAGAAAATAATATGAGGGTATTCTTTGGAAATTGATGATGAAGATAAAGGCATTTTGGTCTTTTCATTGTGAGGGAACATCATCAGTTCATGCCCACTTGCACCACGCTCGCATGTACTGCACAGCCGATTAGAATACACAGAAAAACTAACGGTGAACGTTACTTGATCAACCACAGGGGATTATGTGGTGATATTCGAAAGTCAATGGGGTAATCCACACATGGATTAAACCATAGAAGGTAAAGTAAGGTTTGCTCTAATTATTATTCATATCCTAGTACAGGACTTAGCTTTCTTCAAGTACGGGGAAGAAATAATTCTTCTCGTATAATCCTGTTGACTAAGTCCACGCTCCTCCGTACGACGTCGCTTTGTCACCTGAAAACACAAACGTGAGCTAGCCGGCGGGTGTGTGCCGGAAACCTCTCCGATGCCTAAGTCAGAAAACTTGACAAATAGACAAAGCTCTATGTTCTCAGAAAAATTGTGTTCTGTTACCTCCTCCAAGGTGATGTTTATGAGCTTTTATAAGTTTCCAGTGGCACAATCCTAGTAGGACTTTTATTCCTCTATGCAGAGTCCTCCTAGGATTCATACTCCTAAGGATAATGCTTATCCTTTTACACCCTCCCCCACTGCTTAAACCAAGTGGGATGGTTTTTACTTTGGCCGAACTACTATATGACCGAAATAAGCTTGGCTATGCAGAGCCACTGAGTAAACCGAACTCATCCTTAGTTCGGTTCTTGTTTTTTCCCTTTCTTATCTCAGCTTTCCATGTAGAACCCATGGTACGGTCTTAGACCGAACCAACGACTTTCGGCCGGTCTAGCCCCAATACCGGTATAACTCCAAGTTGCCTTCGGACCGAAGTATCTTTTACAGTCACTGTGCCGAAGTAACTTTGTCTCTCTTAGGCCGGAGTAGCCTTGCCTCTCCTAGGCCGGAGTAACATTGCGGCCTTTCCTGGGCCGGAGTAACATTGCGACCTTTCCTGGGCCGGAGTAACATTGCGGCCTTTCCACCATGTCTTTGGTACTTTGGGCCACAAAGCCCATCTCATAGCTCGGCCCATTTTTTACCAAAAATTACCCTCTCAGAAGGTAAAGTAAGGTTTGCTCTAATTATTATTCATATCCTAGTACAGGACTTGGCTTTCTTCAAGTATATTAATTGGCTAACTGGTCTAGTTAAGAGTGTCGTGGCCAATCTCAGTAATCTGAACAATTAATTTCGTGTAAGGCTAGCTAAATAAATTGTTTAGATATTAATAATTACATGATTAAATTATATTTGCCTTAAAGAATAAGAAATGTATTTTTTTTTTTTGGTAGATAGGATGGACTAATGTTTTTTTGAAATCATAGATGTCATTGGACAAATATATTGCTAATGTAATCAAATTAATTTTTAAGGAATGATTTAAAAAGATTAGAGTTCAAATCTCATGTTTGAAAAGAAGCCTAACCAACATCCTCACTTGCAGGGGTGTCTTTGCAACAAAATCTTCAAAAGAGGGTAAAAAACGAAAATATAAAATTTAAGGAAGGAGAAGTTTAAATTAGTGTAGAATTTAGGGGCAGGTGAGCGAATATGAAGTCTTGAATGGAAAAAACTCGAAACGAAGAGAAGAGGAGGAGGAGCCGAGACGTTGGGGGTGAGAGAAGAAGCAGTGAAGCTGTTCCCATAAATAATCTTGTCAATGGCTTACGGAGACACCGACCAGGATTCTACAGAGAGTTAAGCGCTTCTCTCTCAGAGGTAATTTGATTGTTTCTTGATTCATTCCAAACACCAATGCTCTTGTTGATCATAATGATCTATGCAAGTTTAGGGTTTTTTATTCTGTTATAAGGTTTCATAATCATTGTTCATGTTTGGCTCTCAGAACGTTTCATGAATTTTTAGGGCTTTGATCACAAATATATTTTTACTGTGGAATTTTTATTTATTTATTTATTTGTTGAATGTTAATATTTATTTTTATCTAAACCCTCCAAGCAATCTTGGGCTAGTTTCTAGCATTTTGTTGATGAAACATAACTTTTGAAATCACCCTTGCTCTGGGGTACAAAATGCACTTGTGTCTTGTGTTGATAATCAATCATTATGTGTGACAAGAGAACTGATAAAAGGAGGCACTTTAAAACCCGGAATGGCTAGTTTTGTGGTGGGTATAAAGAATGAGTACGGGATTTTTCTACTTTTAAAGGAGGTTGTCGGAATTTTAGAACTAGGGTTGGTAGAGATGCCGACCAGTAAGTATTTCAGGACTTTAGGTGTTGAATTATGGCCAAAAGTAGTTTTTTTTTTTTTTTTGGGTATAGGGTTGTGATAAGTAGAGTTTTGGGGATCTAATGAGGCTCCTTTGGGCTGTGAATTGTTAACATTTATGAAATAGCAAACTACAATTTTAACTGGGAAGAGGGGGGGCGCGCGCCGGGCGGCGGGGCGGCGGCGGGCGTCGGGGGGGGCGGCGGGGGGGGGCGTGGGGGGGGGCGGGGGGGGGAAGAGAGAAGAGAGAGAGAGAGAGAAAAAGAGTAGAGTTAAAGAATCCCAAATAAAATTGATAATTTTCCCTTTTAATATGCTGCAACTCTTCTCATGAACTATTGAATTCTTACTTACTCTCATGTCAACACAAACAGTCAGATATAGTTAGAATAATCTGCTTGGTGATTACAGTAATGTTTTAAGCAAGTTTTTCTTTAGACCTCTGAAGGAGGTTAGATTGGAACTTTGTTTTCTTTTTAATATCCACAAGTCTGCTCACTATTTACATTTTTAAGTCAGGGGCCATTATAATGATTTTGGAATTTTGGTGACGCTGCTCATTCTTCATTAGTCAGTTTTTATGTCCTTTCAAATTCTTTCTTGTTTGATGGTTATTATGGGTTTTGCATTTCTTTCCTTATCAATTTTTGTGGTGAACACACAGATGGCTAGCCGGTCTACCCGGTCGAGGAGGCCACCACCCAGGCAACAGCCAGAACAACAGTCAAGGGCCAAGTGGACAGCACCCCTGACTAAGATACTAGTGGACTTGATGGTTGACCAGATTCACAAGGGGAATAGACAAAACCATTCTTTTGGCAAGAAAGCATGGAAGTGTACAAGTGATGACTTCCACAAGAAAACTGGTCTTAAATGGGATAAAGAGCAGCTGAAGAACCGATACGCTGTATTAAGGAGACAGTATAGTATTGTAAAGTTGCTTCTTGATCAAAGTGATTTCAAATGGGATGAAACCACAGGCACCATCATGGCTGAGGATGAAGTCTGGGACAAGTTCATTAAGGTATGTTCCTGTCCTCTGTTCTCGTCAACACTTACAAACAAAAGTCTACACCTGCCTGAATTAGGAGTAAAGTAAATATTGAGTGTAACAGTAACACCATCCTATGTGGTGTCACCGGCCAAAAAAATACTGCAAATAGGATTAAGTGGACATCTCATCTCCCGCTAACCCAACCAGGTAGTGCTCTCAACCACATATTAAGATTGCTCATTGGTTGGTAATATAGTCACGTGGTATCATTGTTACACCTAATGTTTATTACTGAATTAGAGGAACCTCATTAGCCTACGATATGGCAGCAGACTTTTTTGGATGCTGTAAGGATAACTTTCTTTGTCAAGGAATCTATAGGGATTCTTTAGTACTACAAGGGAATTATTATTTAGAACAATTTATTCCATTGTATGTGGGCAAGTGAAAGGGAATTTGCCTATATATATAGGCAGGTTGGATTGGTTTGTTGGCGGGATGACAAATTGTAACCTGTAGGGCAACTGACCCACCACCAATTTTTACCATCTACCCCTCCCAACTCAACTTGCTCACCTTTTGAAAATGCATGGATTGGTATGGGTCAATTTAGGTTGGCTTCAGTTGGTGGTTTATTTGCACACCCCTAGGTAGGAGGAGATTATATGCTTTATTAAGTATCCATCACGAACTCGCTGTGGTTTGTATTAATCAGGAACATCCTGACGCTGAGACTGTGAAAACTGCTGGCTGCCCAATCTACAGACAGCTGTGCACATTATTCTCTGAACCAGGTACAAATGGGGAATACAATGGGTCAGCTGAACAAGAGATCCCTTGTCCAAAACCCTTGACCATGTTCCAGGAGGAGCCCTCGTCAGAGGATGCGGCTGACATGGAAGATGAGAATGATAAATTTCAATCTATGACCCCTTCAGGTAGTACTGTCGGTCGCAAGAGAGGGCGTAAGGGGGTTGATGATGCTATTGCAAACGCCATACTGGAGATGGCGTCGGCTTCAAAGCTGAGGGCAGCTGCTATACAGCAAGTTAATGACAGATTTTCAATAACAGATTGTGTGAAAGTATTGGATGAAATGCAAGGTGTTGATGAACGAGTTTATTTTGCTGCTCTGGATCTTTTCAACAATCCTAAAGCAAGGGAAACATTTTTGTCGCTCAAAGTCGACAAGCGATTGACTTGGTTGTGTAGCAAGTGTTCTTCTCTCTCTAGTTCATAGGTTGACAAAGGAAGTAAATCCAAAGTGTTTAGTGATTATGTCTATTTTATGTGAATGGCAACGGGGAACAGTGGAACAAACTTGTATATTTTCTAGCCTAGATTGTCAATGATATGTTTTGCTCCATATTACCTTTCTACTCTCCTCTTAAAAAGATACAGTTGTGGACAAGTTCTTGCCATGAATATAAAATTGTACATTTCGATCTCTCAATTATAATATTGTAGGACTTTCATCTACGGAAGAGTATAGTTTGGTAGCTGAAAGGTTTATACGATTTTATAATTGAGGAGATAAGTATGAAGACAGCCAACGGTCCTGATTCCAATGGTTTTGAATCCTTAAAACACATTTTAAGAAATTTAAAAAGATTATAAATGGAAGTGAGTGCAATAAAAAATGTATAATCTTTCTCAACATGTGTTACACGCTAACAAAATCTTGATAATATTAATAGCAAACTGCATAAAAATAGACACTAAACCTCCAAAACTCATTCCCATAAAATTTCACTGAACAAGAAAACATTCAAAACACTCTCACAAAGGCAACAAGAAGGCAAAAAGTATAAACCCATACCCAAAAGGGAAAAAAAAAACACTCCTATTTCCTTAGGCCTATCTAGCATTTGCAACTACCACTGTACCAGACTAGATCAATTGAACCACCACCAATCCAGTGCTGCTTCAAGATTTTCTGGGTTCAAACAGCTCATACCAAATGGTGTATCCACACACATCTCTGTACACACATCCCAACTGTCCATACGGGTATTTTCAAAATTTAGCTGCCCAATCTCTCAAGGGAGTAGTAACCTCTTCACATCATGGACCTGTTCATCAGTACTTTTGGCCTGATTGTATACAGACTCAAATGCATGTATACACACATTAGCAAAACCCGTCACTGCCTCAAACACATGCGGCAATCCCATCTGCAAATTGTTCATTGTCATCGCCCTTGTCACGCTCACCGCCTTTTCATGCTTCGCCTTCTCTTCCTCTGCCTTGGCCCTCAAAGTCTCCACCTTTGCTCTCTTCACTGCAACTGGATCCTTGTTTCTAGACCCATCGGCCATTGAGAACGGACCGTGTTTGCACTCAAGCGATCTAAGCTCACTCACTTTCTTCTCGAGCTCTTTAAACGCCAATTCTGACCTCTTCTTCTGCTTCTGCTCTCCTGCTTGTTGAATGACGATGGCATGGATTACAGTTAAGAAGCTGTTAATCCCTTCGGAAGCCACTTTGTCGGGAACACGATCCACCGCAAGATGCCATTCTTCGCACAGAGAGTAAATTGAGGAATCTTGGTGAGTCTTGGCAAGCGGGTTGGTGCCAAACTGGAAGAGGCTAAGGCGGAGCCAACCTGTGAGAGATTGGATGTAGTCACGTTGAGACTTCATGAGGTTGCAGAAGGCGAGGTGCCATTGATGGACTTCGAGCTCGAGTTGCAGAGTCGATTGCCGATGAATTTCAGACGTTGGGTCAGTTGATGGAATGGTGTTGAGGTACTTGAGCTGCTTAACTATGTGTGTCTGGACCTGGTGGCACTCGTATAGGCTTCTCCACATCCCCATCAATCTGTAAAACCAGAAAATTAGAAACAAAATTTTCATTTCCATTATTCATGTTTTCATAAACAAAAAACAATGAAAAGTTCAGAACACCCATCAGTTTTATTTTTATGCGAAGATAGATTTCAAAAATCAATAGTTTGAAAGTGTTTTCTAAAACCGACAACATTTTTTAGAAACAGTTTGCCAAACTAGTTTTCTGTATCACATTCTGATTTTTATGCTTTAAAAACATAAAACAACAAATACACCAATCATGCAAATTTCATAATCATTTTTTTGTCAATATGGAGGACATAATTCTGATTCAACAGTGGAATTAGAATTAGCTAATGAGTAATTCATTAGTTAGTATAACAGCAAGTCCTGAGTAGTTTTATGTCAACAAACTATTCACTTCAGCAAAAGGGAAACGACAAAAAAAGAAAAGAGTATAAGATACAACACTTGTATTCCACTTTCATAATGATAACTCATTTCACTTTGCCTAGATTTCTATTCACTTTGTTGGTAAATAAATAAATATATATACACTCTAACATAGGCTGTGTTTTAATTTTGGATTTGTGAAAAAACTTGTGAATGTAAAAAAAGGAAATCAAAATGAAATAGAAGCTGTGTTTTCAAAAAAATGAAAACCGAAATCGAAAACACAGCCAAACACACTCCCTCATTAATCTTTTTACAAATCTAAGATCCAAACACAAAAAAAAGTTCCTAGTTGTAAGGAGAGATTTCACTCGTCATTGGTTAATGTACTGCACCAACTGAAATAAAAATTCTTGCAACAAACACAAACAAAGGACATGATTTCATGACATCAAAAAGCAAAAGCAGCCCAGCACAATTTTCTGCAGTGTACTACTGTTGTCATATCTTCTGCCCCAAAATATTAGAGTTGACCAAAAGAGTCTTCCAATCAAATATTTGGGGTGGCCCTCAAGAGCAAAAAAGGACCAAAAAAAAGATCCACACCAATAAAAATATTCTGAGTAGTTTTTTTGGGATTGAACTATGTAACTAGAGGCAGAAGTGTGGAGCAAAAAAGTGTGAAAGGATTAAAATTACCTCCAAACCAGGCACAAAATAGATCTTGAGGGGCATTTTTACTTTATTTTAATTTTTGCCTAACTAAATTTGGCCAAAATCTGTCCCATGATGGCCGTTTCTAAGTGGCATCAACTTAGATGCTTGATTCCCTACCCTATCAATTTTCAAAGAGAGACACCTAATTAATTTACTGTCCCATAATAATATTGTAAAGGCACCTAATTAATTTAATGTCCCATGATATTGTAAAGGTGTGTTTGATACTTTAGATTCTTCACACTCTAAAGAGAGAGACTTAAAAAAATAAAGAATAGTGATGGGGTGGTAACAGCCAATGTGAGAAGCTCATGTTCTCTGGAGCTCCAACCTATGGCCCCTCAAGGATCTCCTTTTTCATTAATTATGTGGGGGTGGCAACTAAGCCATGCGAGTCAATGAGTCACATGAATTTTCAAGGGTATGTAGGCCCACCATATTATTATTTTGTTATTTTTGGTACAATGTAGGCCAGCAATTCTATGCACCCAAAAAAGTGACCAAAATCCGAAATATGTGGACACTTTTTTCGATATTTTTTGTAGGTAAATAGCATTACCCAAAAAAGTGACCAAAATCCGAAATATGTGGACACTTTTTTCGATATTTTTTGTAGGTAAATAGCATTCTTGCATATAAGCTCATGCCCAATGTTCGAATTTTATAAACCAGACTAAACCAAGTTTTATGTCCCACTTCAAGCAGGGTTTCAAGGGTATGCAGGCCCACCATATTATTATTTTGTTATTTTCGGTACAATGTAGGCCAGCAATTCTATGCACCCAAAAAAGTGACCAAAATCCGAAATATGTGGACACTTTTTTCGATATTTTTTGTAGGTAAATAGCATTCTTGCATATAAGCTCATGCTCAATGTTCAAATTTTGCAAACCAGACTAAACCAAGTTTCATGTCCCGCTTCAAGCAGGGTCAACTACAAGAATCGTAATACTCAACTTTCATGGAGGAACAAAAAAAAAAAAAAAATCAGAAGGAAATACATAGGTATAGACACTTGCACTGAATTATTGTTTAAACAGTTATGTAAACCACAGTTAAATAAAATGCTGCACACACAATTCAATTTTAGAGGGTCTGAATTCGGAAAAGAAAACAATAGAGAGAAAAGCTAGAGTGAGAAAAGGACTAACCCTTTGACAAGCTCAACAAGTTGAGGATAGAGTTCTGATTCCCTCAATTTGATAATTTCAGTAGAGGTAGTCTCAATGGCCTGTGAAGCAACCATCAGTCTTGATTCCAATTTCTCTACCTCTTTCTTTGTTTTCTCCATTTTCACATATTCTGCTCTATTCAGTTCCATCTTCCTCAGCTGCTCTGTCTTCTTCTCGTGCTCCATCTTTAATGTTTGCGCATTCTTCAAAAAATAAAAAATAAAAATTATATGAATGAATCTATTGTCTTATCAATCGTTTGATACTTGGTCAGTTTTCATTTCTTAAGGAAGCACTTTCTAATAACTTATAAGGAGTCCAGAGTTAGAATGACATCATTGAGCCCATAAAGTAATAAAAATTGCATAGGAATCAAAGTGTTTAGAATATGATACTGACAAAAGCACAATTACATGTGCTCATTAATTCATGTCTCTAATTAAATATGGATGGGTTTGTTTTCTACTTACAATTTGTTCAAAAAGGTGAACTCATCAAAAGGCAAAGAGATCCCCAAATCTCTTCATACAAACATTTCCAAGGCATAAGCAACTATTGCAAGTATTTTGAGACAAAGAAAATATATGAATTTAAGGACAGAAAATCCCGTGCCATGAAAACCCAAATGGCCAAACTCAGATCACAAATGTGAAAATATTTTATATACATGAAAAAATAATAGTAATTTATAAACAGTGTGGAAATTGGGAATACCTTGACCTCCAAATATAATTTCTTCTCCCAAGCATATAGCCTCTCCACAGTAGAACAGTGACTCCCAGTAGTGCTATCACCACCACCACCTCCTCCACCTACATTCACTTCTTCACACAACTTCCCAAACCCATCCAATTTTTGACATGAACCCCATGTCCACATCAATGGACTCAAGTTCTTCCCGTACCCGTAAACCTTTGCTGCAACCAGTCACATATAAGCAAATAAGCGGTTTGGTGGGGAACAACAAGGTTACTCAAAAAATAGCTAAAAAATAAAATGTACCATTTAATTTCAAATTTAATTAGGATTCATTTGGGATGTGAGTTGACTTTTTAACTTTGACTATTTTAGTCTGGAACTAAAAAGTCAAACAAGATGGGCTTTTTTATTTTTATAAGAAAAAAATATGATGATTATAATTTAAATGTGACATTATCTTATTAACTTTTTAGTCTATTTTATTTTTTTTAAATTATTTTAACCAAAAATACCAACTTTTTTCAAACGATGGCTTAGTTACACTTCAAACTCAATCACTTAGCTAGCCAAATGAGAGTGGGACCCACGTCACCAAATAGGGGTGGCCCCCACTGATATTGTGGGTAGACCATGGTGACTATGACTAATTTCTGGAAACGAAAATAAAAATCACATCAAATAACTTGAAAATTGGGTATATCTTGAATAGGCATGCTCTAGATTTATAATGCATATCTATGATGAAGAGATTCTATTAAATTTATATTCCTATAGGATGTAATGGTAATGCTAAATAATGTACCACAAACACGAACATAAAATAATGAACAATGAAATTTATGACATTACCCAGAAAAATCAAAATAAAAATAAAAATAAAATAAATACATACGTATGAATCTGGATGTATATATGTATGATTTTTACCTGGAGACCTCTGATCAGGAAAACCATAAGTAGGGACTTCTAAAAGGGAAGAGAGTTGGGCACCAGCCTCAGCCGCTTTGAGGAAATACTCATCGAGCTCTTTGATGATCTCAACAAGATCTTTGCCTTTACTCGATACCACAATGGCTAGCTCGCTCTCCTTCGATAACCCACTCACCACCGACGGCGCCTCATTCGCAACGGTGGTGGTGGTGGTGGTGGCGTTGGTCACGGCCACCTCCGACGCCGCCGTGGTGGTCGTCATCGTCGCTGCTTCCCATTCCTCCTCCGGCATAAACGGTTCCCAGAAATCCCAACCCGATGCCTGCGGGGGGGGTGGTGGCGGCGGCAGGGCGGTGGAGGGGGTCGTTGAGGTGGTCCAGGTGTAGGACGACGAGCTCATCGGGGGAGGCGGAGGCGGAGGAGGAGGAGGAGTGGGGGTTTGCGGCGGCGGCAGTGGTGAAGCGGGGAGAGGAGGGAGCTGATGGTGGTGGAGCTGCTGGTGGTGGTGATTGGATTCGGCGGCGGCGAATTGATGAAGAGCTGAGCCGGTATTTTTGAGGGACCTCATATACATACTGTGTGAAGCAGAGAAGGCTTGTCTGGCTTTCACAAACTGTTTCATGTATCTCCTCCTAGCTTTGCATCTTGAAACCATCTCCTCTCTCTCTACTCTTGAATAACAGCAACCCATCTCTCTTCTTTTCCTTCTCTCTCTCTCTCTCTCTCTCTCTCTCTCTCTCTCTCTAAAAAAAAACTCTCTCTTTCCCAGATTTGCAACCAAGGCCCATCTGCTGTGCTTTTTTCTGGCTTTTGTTTTGTTTCTTTTAGATATATATCAATGGATTCAATAGCCCCAACAAAAAAGAAAAACAAAAGAAAAAAAAAAGTTCTGTGTTTTGGTTTTTGTTTTTTCCTTACTTTGACAGATGATCAACACGCATGTCCTCAGCCTCTGAAGTTTTCATCAAGAGAAAGAGGGAGATAGAGTACAGTAGTAGAAATGGTGTAAAGTCACATTCATTCATAACCAAACTTCGCTTCTTCTGTTCTGGTACTTGGAAAACTTCAAACCCCTCTACACTTTTGCCTTGCCTGAAGAAACTCCACTCTCTCTATCTCTATATATGTATATGTATCTCTTTCCTTCTCTCTCTAGAAGTGAATAGAGAGAGATATGGTGGTGTCCTGGTGGTGGGGGAAGGAGAGAGGAACAACACAGCAACACTTTGGAGCGAGGTGGAGTCAGAGACAATGGGTGTGTTGTTGGGCAGAGAGCCTACATTTTTATATTAGAAATCGGATGACCAAAATGCCCCCGAGGGTGTTTCTGTAATTTAACACGTACCATGCAAAAGCAGGAGGACAAATGTTGCAGTCTTGTTTGGTCGCAAAAAATAATATTATTTATATTAATTAATGTATTAAATATTAATAGATGATATAGTATAATTTTAAAGATTTTAAATATTTATAATTTATATAATATATGAAATTAATAATAATAATATAATACATATTAATATATATATTAATTAATATATGTACTACTAGCAGTCTGAAAATAGTGGAGTGCCTTAGAGCATCTCCAATGGTAGTAGGCATTTTACCTATCTAAATATTACTATAAAATACACATTTTATTTTGCCTGTCAACGATTTCATGTTTCTACCCCAACCATGCTCTTTATTTTAGCTATTCATCCAAATACTATTAACTTCATAGAATGCCACGTCAGCAACAAAGATGGAGGGAAATAATCTTAATGATTAAATACATTTTGCCTAGCCTTGAAGGCTAGCTACATGTAGCTAGTGAATGTGAGCTGAGCCAAAATGCCTAAGCATATGCCTAGTGCATTGGAGTTGAAAAAAGTGAGTCATATTAGGCATTTTGACTAACAAGCATCATATGCCTAGTGGGTTGGAGATGCTCTTACGGAAAGCGAGCTTGAAATGGTGGGAGTTGGGGAGGGTATTTTGGTAACTCCAAGTTTCAACGGGCGTGACGGTGTTGTTAATGGTAAAATTGTTTCAAATGCGTGATGGGCCATCAATTAGTGATATTGCCAAGGAATACGTTACGCATTAGAATGGAAGGCTAAACGGCTGGAAAATATTACTGTGTTTATTTTATGTTTTTGTAAGAAACAAAGGCATATTTTGGTAATTAAATCAAAAGTTAATTTTTAAATTTTTTTTTTGAATCATATTACTTCTTTATTTTTTAAATATTTAAAAAAAAAACTAAAAAAATAAAAAAAAAAATGACATTTTATTTACTTCTCAAAACACTATTTAATAAATAAATAAACTTACCTTTTAAAATAGGCCAAAATAAATACATAGAGTGGTAAGAGTACATAATTATTTCATAGGTAAACCCCTAAGGATAACTCGGTGGTTTGAGGATAAAGAACCAGAGATCTAGGAGTATACTTCTCTATAAGTCTCAGGTTCAAATCTCAACCCTAACTGGCTATTAGTGGACCATTGCGTCTTTGTCTAGCCGATCGGCTCAAGATCCCGAAATTAGTCGAGGTGCGACATTCCGAAATAATGGTGGCCCGGACAATTGGTTATCAAAATATATATATATATATATTTTATAGGTAAAATAAAATGATGGGTCTCATATGTAGATCCCATATTATATGAGATGTATTTCATTTTGTGTAACACATTTATGTATTTAGAATTATTATTAAAATAAATAGCAGAGAGGAGAAAAAGAGGTGTGACTAATAATTTGAGTTATATATTAATAATTTAGACACAGAGATAAGATTCATTTTAAAGCTTTGTTTGGGGCGTGGTTAATATAGTTTAAAAGACAAAAAAAAAAATCATGCTTGCTTGCTTGATTTTATTTTTCTAGAAATATTTTTTTTTTAATTTTACTTTCTTATTTTCCGAGATTTTTTGTTTTTACTGAATTTTTTTAATATTTTAAGCAATTTGTTTACTTTTTAAACACACCTAACATAAATACAGCTAAAAAGTAAAAAAATTGTAAAAAAAATCTTTTAAAAATTCATTAAATACCAAAAATACAAAAAAAATATAAGAATTCAGTACATTTTTTGTATTTTTATGTATTTATTAATTTTTTAAAATATTTTTTCACAAATTTTTTACTTTTTAGATACATCTAAATAAGGTGCATCTAAAAAAGTAAAAAAAAAAAAGTTTAAAAATTTAAAAATATTCACTAAAAATTAAAAAAAAACATAAAAATCAAAAAACTCATTTTTCAAAAAACTTAATTCAGAAAACTCAAATCAAATACACTGCAATTTCCAAATGAGCTTTAAGTGTGAGTGGCTATAAATAAATGTTGAATCTAAACCACACATTATTGTTTTTTGGGTTTGAATTATCGTTTTTGAAAATTAAAAACCTTAAACAATTTAAAAACAGAAAATGTTTAAGATTCAAAAAATAAAATAAAATAAAATAATCACAATTGTACTCATAATGGTGTGATATGATATGTATCAACTTTTGATTTGTTAGAGTATCTCCAACGGTGCATCAATTTTTTAATTAAATTTGAATAAAAATTTCATTTGATATCAAGTGTTCTAACAAAGGATTTTGGAGCTTCATCAGAAACACTAATCGACTGAGTGGATGTCTAGCCAGTTGATCGGCCAGTGTAATTTTTTTTTTTTTTTTTGGCCTTGAGATGGTCGACCGAGGGGATGACCGGCCAATGCAATTTTTTCACAAATTTTTGCCTTGAGTTGGTCATGCTGAAAGACATCCGGGAGGACATCCAATGATGAAAATCAAACGACTATGAACAGTGATATGATAAAAGTCACATGAGTTCTTAGTTTGATGAAAGAAAAGTGAAATTCTAAATTTAATACTTATTTGATGAAACCGTTGAAGCAGAAAAAATAGTCATTTTTCACCAAATTCAAATTTGATGACAAACTAAATAATTATTGGAGATGATCTTATACATCTAATAATATAAGGCACCACCCTCTTGTCACGTCATTGTGAATAGATTTTTGGATTAAAAGTGTGAATTTATAGCATTACTTACTCATCTTGAAGCATGTATATTCAATAATATTTCGAGAAAATTTCCTAAAATAATTTTTTTTTAAAATAAATTTTATTAGATTTTAAAAATATTAAAATTCATAGGAAAATGAAAACCAACATGAAATCAATTTTAATTTTATTAAGCATGAGAACTAAAACCCATAAATAAGAAGCCGTTTCATTTGGAAAAGGTTCTTAAGCCAACTTTTTACATGTCTTCTTTGCCTTTATTTAATTTTCTTTTTTTAAAATTACTTTTTAAGTTCTAAAAAAGACTCTAAAATTTTAAAATTTTGTCATGAAATGAAAAAAACTATCAAACACATTTTTTTTTAATATATCTTCGCTATTTTCAACAAAAAAAATTAATTTTTTGTATATTTAAAATGTTTACTTTTTAGGTCCTTTTAAGCTAAAATACCCTAATTTTATTTTTATTTTGTAAATATCAAATTATAAGAATTTTACTAAAGATAAAAAAAAAAATTAACTTGGCTAATTTTCTTTTTTTTAAAAAAAACTTTACATTTAGTGAGCTTTTTTAAATTTAAGTTAATTTTTTAAATTTTGAAAATCTCAATCTATTTTTCATGTTTATCTTTCCCATTCTAACTGGTTATTAGCGTGAAATCTGGTAAGTAATATCTGTTTTTATTAAACATCAAATTGGAAAGTGATATTGACAAGACGAGAATTACTAGTTTGCCCATACTTGGTCTATGGGAAAGAAAGAGACTAAAGCGGTGCCGTTTTATCTAATGGTGGTCTTGTTATCTTTTTTTTGAACTCCAGTGGCCATGTTATCTGTTGTAGTCTTTATGTACCCATAAAACAACCAATAATACTATAGGTATTAATTGATATATTAATTAGTGTATAACATAATATGATTTTAGAGATTTTTAATACTTGTAATTTATATGATAAGTATGATTAATAATAATATTATAATATTTATTAATACACTAATTAATATATTAATTGATATAGGTAATATTACAGTAAAAACAACTGAGTTGGCAAGATTTGGATCTGGGGATTCGGAATTTAATTTTTTTCTCCTAATTGCATTCCTTTCTTAGGAAACTGTGACAATAGAATGCTATTTAATTAAAAAAAAAACAACTACTAGATCGCAGAGCATTTCAGGATAACTCTGCAGTATAAATCACCTTCCACCATCTTAAAAAAAAAAAAAAAAAAAAATTTTTTGGTAACAATTAAAAATATATAGGACTAATTGGTGCAAATATTTTGTTTTGGGACTAGATGAATTAAGAAAATTTAGGGCTGGTATTTTTTTTTTGAAAAATAAATCAGTTAAATAATAATAAAATAATCTCATTTTTCATGATGGTGTAATACGTACAAATCTTTTCTGTGCATTTAAAAGATTCTCATGTATAACACAATTATTTTAAAATTAAAAATGTGAGACTCAAATTGTTTAAATTAAAATTATGAAAATCAAAGTGAAACTTCACCTTAAAAATAGGACTAATGGTGTAATTTATCCAATATAAAAATAGTTTACTAAAGATGCAAAATAAAAAAAAAAAAAAAAAAAAATTCAAAAAAAAATTTTAAGTTCGAAAATTAACACAAGATATGAATTTTCAAAACTAGTCTTTACAGGTAATGTCTATTAAGTCCTTGTTTGATTTTCTCATTAGGGCTAAAAAAGTATAAAAAGATAAAATAGGCTATATAAGTTAATAAGACAGAATATTACTTTTCACCCATAATTATTACATTTTTCCTTCACAAAAGTTAAAAAAATCTCAAAATAAAAATCAAACGAGACTAAAAAAGCAAAGCTAAAAAAGTTTTAATACAAAAAAATTGATTAAAAAAGTCAATGCCAAACGAACGCTAAGCAAATTATTGATAAGCCTATTAAAGTCTGAATTTAAAACTCAATTTGAATGAGTAGATTTAAAATTAAAGAATTTAGAGTTGAATTTTATAACAGGTAAGCAAATTAATTTTGAACCATAAGCAAATTATATGTGAGCCTCTTAAGGTCTGAATTTAAGGCTCAATTTGCATGAATAGATTTGAAATAAAATAGTTTACTAAAGATACAAAATAATACCCAAAAAAAAAAAAACATTCAAAAACATTTTTTAAGTTTGAAAATTAACACAAGGAATTATACTAGGGATCATGAAAAAAATATGAAATGCATCATGAAGATTTTTCATTATTTGTTAGT